CCTCCGCGCCGATGAAGCGACCGCGCGTGGATACATCGGGCTGCCCAGGTAATTTAAAAGCCGGGGTCGGTGCGGTCTCCTCTCCTGGAGCCGAGCTGCCCGCGCCGCTCCCGGGGAGCCTTTGGGCTCCGAGGCGTGGAAATCCCCGCTGAGCATTTCAAAGGGCTCCGAAGAGCCGAACGGCCGCTGGGTTTCTGCCCCACATCATCTCCTCCTTCCTCATCCCCCTCCTCGGAGGCGGTTTCTCCCCTAGGCCAGCGTGGCAGTAGCTGTGGAGGACGTGCTTTGGCTTTGGCGGTAGCTGGGGGGGGGCTGGTTTTGGTTGGGAAGACGGACTTTCTGGCAGGTCGGTGGTGCGGGGTTCCCCCCCCCCAGACCCCGTGAGGACGGGCGAGGGTGGAGGTGGCTTTTTCTTCTCCTCCTTCCCGTGCTGGTTCAACTCTTGCTCGAAGACTTTGCAGACGTCTTTGGGTGGGACAAAAAAAAAAACCCCAAAAAACCAAATCCAAACCAACCCTCATTTCTGCTCTGGGATCATTTCTCCTGCTTTTCACGGTTAGCGCCGGTGTCAGTCCTGTGGCTTCCCATGCGTCTCCCCCCCCTCCAACCCCCCATCTGTGCGGTAGCGGTGGTTGGATGACCTGGGATCTCCTTCCCTCCTCCGTGGCCAAATTGGAGGGGGGGGGGGATATTCGGGCTCCTCGCGGGAGGGTGGAAAAACCCTACAGGGTTTAAAGGTCGCGTTTAGGGTTGATGGAGTCGCTGGGATCTCCTTCCCTCCTCCGTGGCCAAATTGGAGGCGGGGGGGGATATTCGGGCTCCTTGCGGGAGGGTGGAAAAACCCTACAGGGTTTGAAGGTCGCGTTTAGGGTTGGGATGGAGTCGGGGAGAGCCCCAACGGTGGCATCGGCCGTTGGGAGTCGGGGTTTTTATCGATCCGCCTTCGCTGTAACGTCGAATAGAAACAAATGGCTGAAAAACACGTCTTGGGGCCGTAGTTCCCCTGCCCCGACG